TAAAATGAGAGCGTAATCGCTACAATGTTAGGTTATTGAAACTCCCGGACATTTTTCTGATAAATATACAATCTCCCTGACTAACGTTATTAACAATTTCACAAGCGAGTCTTGATAGTGGCCTTCAACCTCCTCTTTCATTTATCATCGCTCAATTTATTACCGCATTTTGTTTTTTAAACGTACCCGCTTTGGTATACACCCTTTCTTTTCTATAAGAAACTTTTTTATATAAGAATATTTGGGCTGAGATTAACCAAAATTTTAGGAAAATACTGAGATCATACCCATCCTGAGAGTTAGTTAGGAAAGTCTTTATTTTGTTCATTATTTTTGTTTATTAAATCCAAGAAAAATAAACTGTATTATTTCATTCACAAAAACACTTGAACTTGAAGGAAACGAAGGAAACGAAGGAAACGATGTGCTGGTCAGAAATCAGTAATAAAAACAATGTACGTGTGTACATTGACGTCGCAAATTGGAAGGTGTCACCATCTTTCATCATTAAGAGGGCCAAGACGAAATGAATGACGTCATGTTTACATGAAATTTCACTTTTCCCCTGTCTTCTTTCAAAGATGTTAATGTGCTCTGACTCTCAGTAAAATTGTCTGACTTTCAACTGATGTCCTTGAAGCAATTTATTTTTCCCTGAGCTTCCCTGACTTGTAAAATTCATGAAGGGATTAGAAATAACTTGATAATAACTTATATATTTAACGCGTCGATGATTTTCCAAAATGATGGAAGGGTGTGTAGTGCAGGTTTTTTTTAAATCTATGCTTGACACTGCACAAATTGTGTAATATCAAAATTTTAAGTATTTCAGACAACAAAGGTGATTCTATATTGAAATTTTAAGTCTTTAGCATACTTTTAGCCACGAAAATAAAAGAACAAGTGTTATTTTGAGTTATGGATAAGTAAACTTTTCTCTCAGATTTGTAACATACAAAAGGCGAATGATACAACTGACACAAGTAAAACTAATCAAAATTCGAGCGTAAAATTCTCATTGTAAGTGCCAGGCAAAATGCATTACAAAACAGTATGGAGAATATACATGCTGATGTTAGGGTCTGAAAAGTCAAAGGAAAGCATAACTCGTGGTTTTGCTATAGCAGTTATTTTTACAATTTGTTTGATCAGGGAAAATGCAGCGCGACATGATCTGTTTCTTTCTCTTCGCTTCTTTTGTGGACTGTGTAACTACCGATGACCAGTGCTGGGCAGAGATCAACATTCAAGGTATGAGACTTGAAGGGTTCGTATTTACAAGGA